TGGTGTTCACATACTGGGATTGCTTTAGGTCTTTTGTTAATGGAGCAACAACTTCAGGTACACTGTTAAAAAATAAATATAATTAGTTCTCAGGTTCATACCAAAACACCAACAAGGCAACTGATAGGATTTTTTTCCTATATTATACAGAAATAAGTTGTCATACAAGAACTATGTTAGATGGATATACAGATGGACAACATGGCAGTCTTTAGTAACAAGTAGCATAACATTCTTGTTATCTGTATTGCATATATTCTATATCTTATTCTGTGATATAAGCTGATATCATTTTCCAAAGATACAAAAAATAAACAAATTATTGGTTGCATAACTAATAATTTAGAATTGCAATTCTAACTCAGCCAATAGACTAAGTTATTCCTCTATTTTGAATTACCTAATGATAAAAAGTTAATGAAATGAACATTTACGGAATTGTGAATATGAATTAAATAAGTATTTGAAAATATTTATATCTTAGAACACTGAAATAGAATGAAGAAGCACTAGGTGCCTGGTTGTATAGGCTTCTATAAAATTAATACATAATTACTTGGCATTAATGACCAGATAAGTCACTTCCAAAATCTGAACGGCTAAATACTGTTGTTGCCCATTACACAACGGCCAGTCTGCATAGCCTCCAGCCTACAACAGTGCTTTTCAAACTTGGCAACTTTAAGGTGCATGGACTTCAACTCCCAGAATGCTTAAAGTTGCCAAGTTTGAAAAACACTGGCCTACAATGACCACTTCTTGGGGCTAATAAGTTAAATAATTGCACACTTTCCCCATTACCATTTCTCTCCCTTTCCTTTGTTGTCTTTCTGTGTTATTTAAAAGCTGATGAGCCACATGAACCAAGGATTTGTGAACTCTCAGAATAGCTCACATAAATTTGTCAGGCTCAAGAATGAAAGTTTATAGTATCTTTATTCTCCTGTTAGAAATAATGTGTACACATTAAGTGGTCATGCCTCCACTATCCTAGTACATGCACAATCAAGCTACCTAGTCTTCATATACTAAAATAAGAGTGAGATATACAATCATATTTATTAGCTTTGGTAGCCAAGCAAAATGTGTGACCTCACAAAAGGTCACAGTCCTTTTAGTGCAACTTAATGCTTATTTGGAAAATGGTTTCATTGTAAACCCAGGTTAGTTAGTCCCTGATCTTTTTCTCTTTCTCTAGGGAAACAAGGATAATACTTCTTTGTCTAATTTCACACTGTAAAAGCTAAGGAAAGGGAAATATTGTATATTTTGCACTGTTCAAGTAAAACTGTCCAAGTGTCTTGGACAACCTATCATCAGAAGAGCCAGCCTCAACCTTCCTTGTATCACGTAGATCAGGGAGACAAAAAGTATAGTCTAGCAGCTACCCTCTTTCTGTGGCCCCAAGAATGTAACCATGCCCCACCCCAATGTACGTCAAAAATTTGGTGGGATTGAAGAAGCAAACTGGGTGGTTTGAAACTTTCAGGTGCCTAGGTACCTATTTCATCCCTTAAAACCCCTCCTAAAATGGGCATTGGCTATATCAATTAAAGTGCAGCACTTGACAAGGCCTGACAAATATATCAAAGACATAAATCTTGAACTGATGTAAGTAACATATTCCCAATATAAATGGTGCAACAAACCTGGAATCTTCAATATTTGGGATCAGTAGACAAATCTGAAACATTTGGTTGAAAGGCACTCTAAAAACTGGTAGGGCAGATAGTAGGGCTTTCTGTTTACAAAATAGCTCCATGGTGGTCTCAAAATACTTCTTTATCAGAAGGCAGACTGGTATAGATGCCTCTTGGCAATAGGATACATGATGAACAAGTATCCCACTTGAAAGCCAATAACAGAAAATAAGAGAAAGCAAGCCAGTCTTGTAAACAAAAGGAAATATCTCAATATACCTGTTTGAAATATAAAATAACTACACCTTGCATTTCTCCAACAATCCTAAACTGGTGGTTCTCATTTAAATACTCTTGCAAAAATACTACCAGATTAAAAACATGGGAGAAAATGAACTAAGAGTCTTTCTAATTTTATCATATTTATCCCAAAGGAAGTCAAATTCCAATCACTCCCATCTCCAATGGAAGAATAAACAGGAAAAAAAAATCTAGACAAAAATCCTGTACATTATCTGTTTGGCTCCCCTTTAACTAATTTAGGGTTGTGAAGTCCAGCTAAAACCAATTCTGGACATTCTCTTTCCATAATAAATATGTGCACGTGAAACACTTGTGTTTGCATACTGCATGTGTACGTACATACTGTAGACACTAGCCTGTGTCTAAAAAAAGGAGAGCCAAACCCCCCCCAAAAAAACATTAATTGAATTACAACTAAACCCTAGATTTAACATACTAACAAGGGGAAAGGAGTATCCATTATAAAGAATGACTGTTAAATCCAAACAACATTGTAAACATGAATGTTTTATGTATGGAAAGAGGATTTTATGCACACATATTTTATTCATTTTAAGTATGCATATTTTAGGCAGTTATATATGCATAAAATAGCAAATATGATTTTATGCATGCATAAAATGGCAAACAGGATTCCACACATTTGAAGGAGTTTATAAGTAACAGATTTTTGATGGCATCCAAAGTTCACTAAAACAAGGCCATTAAATCAAGGGTTAACTTGTATTAACAACTAATGATTCAAAGTATCTCATTTAGGAAACTAATCAGTCTCTGCATCAACCAGCTTCTTTCACACAAAAATCAATCTCCTCTGCAGAAATACATAAATACTCTGATATACACGTACACACACATACTTCTTTCCTCCTTCCAGCAGAAACAGTAAAAAGGAGGTGAAAAACAGGGTGGAGATGTGGGAGAAGAAAAGGTAGCTGCATTAGGAAGGAAAGGAAAGAGAAAAGAGGGGACAAAATTTCATGGAAATGATGGGAGGGGAAGAAGCAACTGAACAGGGAAAAAATAAAAGAGAGACCCTTGTTAAGGATTAAAGAAAGAGTCAAATCTGGCAGGCATGTAGCCCCAAACAGTGAATCAGAATGATACTCTCAATTCACAGATAATCATATTTCTATTAAGTATAGACAAATGAGGGAAAACTGAGTATTACTGCCAATCAGGAATCCAAAGTAGATTATTAATATTGCCTTAAGACTCAGAAATGTTGGCTTCGTGCCTTCTGTTTACTATAGCTTTCATTATAGCTTCCCTTTAATCTCATTAGTCAATCTAAAATGTAACACAAAGACAATGCTGTACTAGAAAAATATAGTCAGAGATTAAGACTATATAGTTCTTACATCATGACTGTGTAACTTATTTCAGGTGGAAAGACTGGGGTTCCAGAAAGGAAGCAACACCTGAACAAAGCACTAAAGCCAGGGAAAAAAAGTTAAATTTAATCATTTACCACTGTGTGACAATCTCTGGGAGGGCTCTGGTAAAGACGGTATATGATCCTTGACTTCTGGCTGTCCATCTCAGCTATACTTTCTTACCTAGCCCTGGCAGTCTCACAGAGCACAGGGTTCACTGTAATTGTGTATTTATATGCTATGTTATCAAAAGGCAAATTGACCATTCTTATCCAAACAATGGCTATCTTATACAAATATGGATTAGTACTGGAACATACATATAAGACAATCATTTCATTAATATGAAACTACATTTGAACATATGTTCTCCATCCCCTGGGTCATTTTAGAACTTTTTAGAATTTTTGGTCATTAAGTCTGCATAACCTATAACTTTTCAGTGTATTGAAATATGCTTTTAGATTACCATGCACAGTTCAATTTATGGACTCAAATAATTATAAATACTGTAGTTAATAAATCCTGTACAAGTCCATGATCAAAACAGAAAAATGTCAAGTCTTCAGGTCAAGCTTGATTCCCAGTGAGCATGGAGATGCCCATGTTGTCTCCTTAGAAAACGTTATAGAAGTGTTTCTTTGGGTTGGTTTTTCAATTTCCCAATTTAGCCTACAGTCTGGCAAACCTTGGAAGCCTCTCATTCTAGAATTAATGAGGCCCAATTAAAACACAAGTATCTAGCAATTATATTTATTAGGATCAATAGTGCCAACTGTTAAAAAAAAACATTGTTTTAAAGTATTTGGGTTGGTCATGTGCAGGCATATTAATATTTAATGGATTTATATGCTGCTCTTATAAAGGAAGAACAGGATGATTTACAAAATTAGAATTAAACAAGAGCAAAGATAAACTTGATATTAAAGTAGCAAAAAAAAAAAATCCTCTGAAAGGACTGAAAGCCAGAATGAATAACACTGAAAGTTTAAAAGTTTCACCAGCAGCAAAATAATGAGGATTCATGGTCTATAAAAGTTGTACTAGGAAGGGGCACATTTAATATAATTTGCATCCATGGTTTTGCACTGACTTTCAAGTACATTGCATTCATTCAATCAATCAGAAAAATGGGAAAGATTACTCACGGAGTAGCTGTGTAATTGTCGTTGGGAATCTGATGTGCAGGAGCATCAGAAAGTGAATATCCCATAGAACTGGCAACTTGATCTGGATAGTCAGCGCCTGGCGCAGCTGCCTCTGGTTCTGCACTTACATTCTTAACCTGGAAGAACATACATGAGATAAATGTTGAACATTGAACAGGGTACTATCATTCCAGTACTTCAGGTTTTAATTGGTTAGATTCCAAATGTGTAAATGTCACGTAAAAAAATAACCTTGTTGGAATGCAGAGAAGGTATTAGCTTCTGCAGTAGAAGCACACTACTAACAAAGGCACTGGGCTCAAGCAATCTGTTTGTAGGGGCACATAATAGGCCACCGCACTCCAAATGTAATTATGGAGTGTTTCCATTGCCAAAATTTTGTACTAAGCTTTCCTCAGTAGTGCAGGAACAAACAGGAATCACTGCAATTCAAAAGTTGAAATAAACACAAGATTATTTATTTAATATAGCCACCTGTCTCACTTTTACCTGACTCTAGATGGAGTTGGCCACCAATGGAGCTTCAACGTTCATGCAGAATAAGACTAACAATGACTTCAGTTATAATGGCTATACATCCTACCTCTAGGATCAGAAGTAGCATAGCTCTGAATACTAGCCACAGGAGAACATTGGTAAGGACTATAACATGTTTGTGTGCTTTCTAATTTTCATCTGATGAGATGCTGTGACAAACTGGACTGAATGGGTTTTCTCCTTCACCTTATCATGACCATTTCTTCTAGGAGAAGCAGCACTTACTGATGTCATCTTAGGAATTTTCATATGGGCTACAATTAGAAAAAAGCATAATCCTAGAAGAATGCAAGGGCTGTGTCTGCATCCTACACTAAACAAACCAGCCAACCATATTTTATCCAAATGCTTGTGTAATTTGTTTCTGAATCAGAGCTTTGTATGAACCCAGAGATTGGGTAACTGAATGCACCGTGTAAATTAATCATGTGTAAGTACATCATACCAACACATTCAATAGATCTTATAATAGTGCAGAAGTAGGAAATCTGTGGCTCTCCAGACATTGCTGAATCATAATGCCCAGCCACCCTAGACAGCATGACCAATGGTAAAGATGTTGTGAGTTTTCCTTCAGCATTATTTGAGTGTGCCACTGGATCCCAATCCCCCAGCAGTAATCCTTGCATGCAGCTGCTCACAGTAAGAACAGAGGTTTTGTTAGAAAGCTTTCTTCTTACCTCATCAGGTAAAAAAGAGCAAATACAGACACTTAATCTAATTCTTCACCACATAGCAGCATGTGAAGCAGCAACAACTTTAAACTCAATTAAACCAGTCTAAACAATTATCATGCTAGCATAAGAAAGCAGCAACCCAACAAAAGCTCAGTCCTCCACGACACATATGCTAATTAAAAGCTTAACACACATGCCAATCAGCCAGCTGGAAAAAAAAAAAAGCTCTCAAGAGCAGCCACATTTTTCAGCAAAGAGAGCCAATAGGCCCATCCTAGGAAATGCATTCCACAGAGAAGACTCAATTCTGCACCTGTTTTAACCTCACTCACTGCTCAAAATAGAATGTAAGGGCTTTTTCCCTTTCACTTAAGGGACTATCTGCAGGCCCAGCTCCAGAGTATTTATGGGGATTGGACAGATTTTCATGTATCAATTAGCAATACTCCAGAACAGTTTCCAGGCAAATGTTAGAGTGACACATTTATATAGTCAGGAATGTTCAGCTCAAAGTACTAGAGTTTGTTAACAAAAATTACTAACAATTCTAACTGCAAGGCAAGATGTCACAGAAATAGAGTTGGTCAGATAAATAACCTGATATGACTTCATGCTAAGAAGACCATGATATTTGTGGGTGAAGCAATATCTGCTATCTAAAGACAGAAATCCATACATTCCTTCAAAGTACAGTGGTGCTTAAAAGTTTGCAAACCCTTTTGAATGTTCAATATTTCTCAAGAGGAAGTGGGTCATGTAGCAAGACAACAACCCAAAACACTCATGACCAAGGAATGGTTCAAGCAGAATAAAATTAATGTTTTGGAATGGCCAAGTCAAAGTCCTGACCTTAATCCTATAGAAATGTTGTGGAAGGACCTGAAGCAGGCAATTCATGCAAGGAAGCCCACATCCCTGAGTTGAAGCTGTTCCATAAGGAGGAATGGGCTAAAATTCCTTCAAGCCAATGTGCAGGACTGATCAACAGTTACTGGAAATGTTTAATTGTAGTTATTGCTGCCCAGGGGGGAGGCACACCAGTTACTGAAAGCAAAGGCTCACATACTTTTGCCACATGCAAATATGTAGCTTTGGATCATTTCCCTCAGTAAATCAATGAACAAGTATGTTTTTGACTCGTTAAACAAACTGGGTTCTCTTTATCTAGTTTTAAGACTTGTGTGGAAAACAGATCGCATGTATGCAGAAATATTGAAAATTCAAAAGAGTTCACAAACTTTTAATCATCATTGTATACTCTGCTAGATTTGTATATGTTAACTGCTGCAAGGATATTATGTGTTTCATAGTGGAAATGAATTCTTCCTTGGAAGAATGGTAACAAGCTGTGGGGATATGCTTCAATGTTCAGAATAACTTTGTGTCTTAAAAGTAAATCTGATATAGAATTTCATTCTAATTGGAAACCATTCCTGGATTGTAATAGCTTGATTTATACCAATCCCCAAATTTGTGTGTGTGTGTGTGTTTAATGTATAGAGTCTATATTTCACCTTTATGGGAAATTAGATGTCTAGCATTGATTTAATTATTATTGCTTATAATTTTACTCAGTGATTTACATTCTTTGACCACAGTTCCTAATAGGCATCCTTAGCTTAAAGCTTAATAGTGATTCTTAGGGTTTTTAAAGTCATACATTATGTTTTAAAATGTCTTAAGTAATGAATGATATATTGGAAAACTGATCTCCATGCCATTTTAGATCCCTGATTAACTTATTTGTATTTAGTATTTCTATTTTACCTTTTTATTCATTTTATGTATCCTTTATTTCTCTAGTCTATACTTTTTCTTTAAATGTTTAATTTAAAAAAAAGACAATCCTGAAGGCTTTACATGCTATTTTTTTCTCCTAATACAGAACAATTTATCACAAAACTCTTAAGGCAAAATATTCTATCCATGAAGAGGGAGCTGTAGTTCACATATCATGTAAGCCATTGTTTAATAATTATTTGTTGAATAAATCACAACTGGCAAAGTTCAGAAAACATAGCTATAACAACATGATTAATAAACTGTATACAAATCATATTATGGCTTAGTGTTTTTGTGCACCATGCCAAATATTTTGGGCAAAAACATAATGCCAGGTATCTATTTATTTATAGCAACACCTTGACTACAATACCTTTCTATAGTTGGTTCAGAAGAGCATGGATCTTTCCAAAGTAGGTAACTGGAGTTTCAAGTGTGTTTCCACACTGTAAACAGGGCAAAATGTTTCTTGCTGGCAACAGTTAAGATTATTCAATAACTGGTTAATATGAACATGGACCTAAGAGACCACTAATTCATGGCCATGGCTATAGTCTAACATGTTTTGTAAACTGATGTATGTTATAAGCATAACCATATACCACAAAACCATATTTCCAGACTGCAGCTAATATTCAGCATTATATAGTCTTAGCTCTCACATTCTTATCGGTCTGTGTTCACTTTAGGATTTCCTCTAACAGAGAGGGAAAACAAAAAAGGAGTGGTGTAACTGGTTTTTCAAGCTTTTTATGGGGCTTAAAGGGGAAGGTATTTTAAGTGTTTGACATTGTTCCCTGATTTGTTCCATATGACATAGCCATCTCAAAAAGTTTTGCGACAGAATTTAAAGCCTAAAAACCAGAAAAGGAATTGCTAATAGCCTGTAAGTTTCACAGACATAGGATAACACATCAATTTTCCAGAGCACAGCGACAGAAGCAGCCAACTCTGGCTGAGATCTTGTATTGTGCTAAAGTATACCATGCTTGATTCTGGTTTAGCGTGATGTATAAAACAAGCCAAGTGATCTGCAAATTGTAGTTTATGGCTTAGCATTATATGTGAACCAGCTCACTATGGTTCAATAAACTATGCTTAAAACAAACAATATCTTAACAAGATAAGTGCACCCAACTGGGGTGGGGGGAAGAAAAATCACACTGCATAGATTTACCCTTTCTATTTTGTGAAAATGAAATTACTCCAAAAGACAACTAACCTACATTTATTATTAATTTTCTGTCCTGCTTTTCAAACTTGGATTCACAATACCAATTGTGATCAATAATCAATTAAAGAATAGATGTACTATGATAGGAAAAAACAATAAAACAGTGAACAATTCATGATAGGAAGGACATTTTAAATCAAAGAAGGGACTAAGCAGATCACTTAGGGCAATTTTTTTCAATCAATACCTTTCACTTGTATTGATTTTGAAAAAGTCAATTATTTTCCATTAGTAACCATACAAATGTTACTCTAATAGTATAAAATGGTATACAACGCGTTTAAAAGAGTAAAAATTAAACATGTAAAGAAAGAATGTGGTAGATTATATTTTAATAGAAGACTTTAAAATATGAAATCTGAATGTTAATACAATGTCATATAAGTATACTTGGTAGATCTATCTATATACTCAAGTGCAAGTTTATGCTGAGTTTATCTGTCATCTATGAAAGAATTCTAGCTAAATTGTTTTGGGGGATTTAATGGAACACTGAATCAATAGTTGTGGATGTCTTCCTATTGTTACCAAATAACATAAGGCCAGTTCATATATAGTATAAACTAAGCCATGGTTTAGCAATCCAGGGGTGAACCTAGTACTTACACACTCATCTCCTCTCAGAATTACCTTTCCTGTCATATAGTGAGTGACACTTTACTGTTTAATATGCTATCACCAACTATAGTTGGTTGCAAACCAGGAAGTGTTGATTAACTGTGGCATAGAAGAAGAATAAGTAGTAGGATAAAGAAGATATCTTAGTTTAATGCTAGACTACTAGATTTTTACATTTCAATCCTGTTTTTCCCCCAGGAACTCATCTTAGTTTAATGCTAGACTACTAGACTACTAGATTTTTACATTTCAATCCTGTTTTTCCCCC